ATTTGCGCGAAGAAAATTGGTCTCAATATTACCCACAATGGTCGATTTACGTTTCATTACCTAAAACAGAACTTTTGCCTCTACAAGCAGCTAATTACCGTCCACTATCAAGAACCAGAATTGATTCAGCAGGTTTTTGATTCAATACGAGATGCAGATGTGGAGGAAAAGTGTCGAAAAGAAGACCAGATATTTTTAGTTCATAGATGGCTTATTGAAAACGTCTTTATGGCCAATAAAACCAGGAAAATACGATGCTCGTAATGCGAAAATGTGGTAAGAAAATTTGAGTTAACAGCACAAAGGTGATAACGATGTGTCCTACATAAGCCGAAGTCTGAATGCTTATTCACATATAATAGAAAGTAAGTGAGTTCCCTCTAATCCATGTTTTAAAAAATCAGTTTATTTCTCTAGATATAAGTACTTGAAAATGTATATTCATCTTTGTCATTAGGCGACATTTTTGTTCAGTGGTTATTTAGCAGACAATGAGTATAGGGATTCATTAACAACATCCGAAAGTTGATATTTTTGGAAATAGAGGGTGGTAAAAGTCGTAATTTGAACTCTTTTTTTGCCATTATTCTCAAAATATCTGAGCCAGAAATTAGAATTTTGGAAGATTTTATTAAATTTAATTTAGCAGAAAGTCCAAATAATGCAACAAAAAAATACCAAACACAAGTTTTTTTTTCGACAACTCTCCACCACCTAAATTGCCTCCAGACGATGGTAATTTCACGACAATTTAACGGCGATTGGTCGGAGCATCGTAAGAGATCGATTATACATACCAGCCTATGAGACACGCCGGTTGTGTTGTTTTAATGATTTGGGTAAATGCAGTCGCAATATATTTTCTTTTTGTAAAGCCTACGGTGTCTAATTCTAAGCGGAAATCGTTGAAATAACATCGTTTTCATTTTATAACTCATCAACTCAGAGCGGCATCAAGTCAAAAGCGCAGCTCAACACTGTGTTACTCATGCCTAACTAATTGCTTTATTTTTTGTGGCCGAGTATTTTTAGCCAATAAGAAGGCAGTGTCAGATCAGGCAACTAGCTGCTCGTCTTGGTTGGTGTCGAACGCTTCTCCAGAGGTCTAAAAAGATGACAATCACAAGGTGACAAGTCATGAGTACAGGGAGGATGCTCCAACATTTCCTAGCCAAATTGGTCTAAATCCCCCCGCTTAGGGTTTGCTAAATGAAGTGTTGCCGCGAAGGAGCCTTTCTTTTCTCTCGATATGACAATTTTGCTGCATCAAGAAGCTTGTACATGAAAAGCACCTTGCTGAAAAAAAACCAGTTTTCATAATATTTCGGACAGATAACCTCACCGTTATGGCCAACATATGAAACATGTATCTTATTGCTCCCCTAAATACCAACATTTTCACGTTGCTAACATGGATATCTTCAGAATGATGATAAAATGTAACTCAGAAAATCGTTAATTTTTAACAATGTATCTCCAAAACTATCAACTTTGGATAATACATGTTTAGGCCCATATTTACCATTTAGTGTGTCGTATTTGCAGCTTTAGAATTTTCTATAATTATTAAATCACCCGGTATATGAGATAAAGAAGACGAATATTGCAAGGACAACCTATGAAACGAATCTGTCATCAATAAGAAACAGTCCGATCATATCGACAAAGTAGAAATGTACAGAAGGAAATTTTCCCCATGTCGTTGGCATTACTTTATAAATGCTATTAGCAAGTAGTTTTCAATAATGTGTAAAAGTTTTTTCGCTTTAGGATCGTGATGCTAAGAAAAGATGGTTTTGAATATTTTATGAATGGATGAGTTTTGTTTTATCTTCACCCGTCAGAAACAGGTTAGATTAATTAGAGTAAATGTTTCGTCTCCTCAAACGAATTACTTAGAAGTTGCACTGGGAGTTGACAGGGTGCGGCGCATGTAGGACACAACTGAAATTAATACTGCTTAAACGATTCGGCACTTTAAGAGCTCACCTGTTGAAATGATTCAAAAATGCAAAACGTTTACTTACTTTACTACACATTTTTGTTCTAGATTAATAGCGATTCCTGCTATTTTGAGGATCAAGCTCAAGCTGTGTGAGATTGCGACGTTTTTTTGCAACATTTTTTTTATTTATTTTTAATGTAGGTACTTAATATTGCCAATTGTGATATTATTAGTCGGTTGTATTTTCTGTTTTTAACTGTATATTTAACAGACATTTTACGTATTTGAAAATTAAGCTGCCAAACATCACAGTCGAACAAAAAATCGCATAGAAATTTAAAAATCATTGATCAAGTTGTTTGGCATGTGCACAATTAAATTGCACGTAATAAATGCTTGGATATCATTTCAAAAAATGATCTCGAATTCAAACGTCAGCTTTCTGTACAAATTTTTTTATTATTAATATCATTTATTTTTATTCCACGACTATAGAGCGTACGACTACATAATAATTAAAAAGTACTTAACAGTTCCGCTTGAGATGAATATCTATTATCTATCTATGACAAGTCATATGTTAAAATTTAAATACTTTAAAGTTGGATTTATAACTCTGCAGGTGGTGCCGTTCGTCGTTCTTTATCGCAGTTGCCGACGTTCGAATTTGATTGGTCAGATTGACAGATTGTATGCCCATATGATTACATATATGTTGGTTATGTTGCGTGTTGTATTTACCCAATAATACACACATTAATTATTGTTTTTCTCATTTTAATATCAAAATGTGGAGACGCAAGCTACTTGCTTTTACGTTCTTTTTGACTTTCTTTTTCTATTCTATTTTACCATCATACCAGATGTATACAGCGCGGCCGGTATTTCAGCCCAGGCATCCTGTTTCTTACTACTCATCATTCAAATACTCATAATTCTAAATTGGGGTAAGGCTTTAGTACTTTAGCTTAAAGTACTTTATTCAGGTTCTCATGTTTCTCAGCTCGATCTTCTTCTTCGTCTTCTAGCCGTTCTTCGTCCAGAATTGGACATAGGCCTCTCTTAGTTCTTTCCATTTTGTTCTATTCTGGGCAATTCTCATCCATACATTCTGGCAATTCTCATCCTGCCTCCTTTTTTTATGTCCGTCGTATGTATGTGTTTTTATATTACGTACCAACGTGTGATAGCTCATCCTCTCGCTCTTTTGCCGGTCCATGACCTCCATCGCAACACTCTTCTATCCCACCTGTAATCCTTTATTCGGGTTGTTCCGAGTAGTCGTTTTGTTGTTGTCTCTTATGATATTGGGATCCACCGGGCACATAGTTTTGGTTTTATTCATATTGATTTTGAGGCCTATTTCCCTTGATTTTTGGTTCCGATATGTTATCATTTTTTCCAGGTGTTCAGCATTGTAGGCGAACAGGACTATGTCGTCTGCGTATCTCAGATGTGTTAATCTCTCGCCGTCGATGATAACTTCCTCTTCTGACCAGTTAATCGTTAGATCAGTTGCGTTTGTAGGTGTTCTAGTAAAGTATCTGTTGGGGAATGAAAACGGGAGTGTTTTGTCGGTCTTGTGAGGCAAAGGGGATTTATTTTTTTTTTTTTTCGGTGAGGTTTGGGAAATGCTCTTTTACGCACTCCCAGAGCTGGTGGTCTGTCGCTCTGGTGTGTGTGGGACTCCAGCTAA